GCGCATAGTCCCTCCTGCTAGCCCTCAATGTCTACGTGTATTTAAAATTGAGAGGTGGGCAACGACGCCAGGGGTGAGGTGTACACCCTGATGGTAATTGGGATTCCGTGTAGCGTGCCCACCCCGTGCCAACGCGTCACAGTTCCTGTCAGATGTGCAACACCTGCGAAGGTCAGGTGGGAGGGTCAGGTGTTTGAACTGACCCACATTCAGCTCAGAGTGACAATGAGACGCCCACCCGCAGTCTGACAGACAGGCCACGGACAGACATGTTCACCTGATGTCCTCACATGTCGCCGCTGCAGACTGCAGCGTGCCCCGCAGCGTGCCCCGCAGCGTGCCTCGCATCCACGTCTTTACGGCAGCCTCTGAGCAGTCTGATCACACCAGCGTCACATTAACATTTTAACAAACAGACAACGTCACAGTAAGGCTAGCGCCCAGACTCAAAAACACAGAAGAAGAACGTTAACCCCTGCCAAGCTGCGCGTGCCACAGTCAAAGCAGACCTGCTGAAACGCTCACAGGAGACAGGAAGTTCAGGGAAACTAAGGTCGCAGAATCCCGGGAAAACTCCCCGGAGCATTCGGCCTCATCCAGCTGCGAAGCTCGGACCGGGATCGATCGCTCGCCGCGAATGACAGACGGCAGCTTCCAGAAAACCCCAGACTTCAGTTGCCTAGGTTACTGTCTAACGTTTTTATCAGCAGTATCCTGTGCTCTCATTGGTAGCTGCTTCTGACCCATGAGTTTTTCGTGACCCGCCCACTTCGCACCAACAGGAGTGATTTCAATGGTCACCACTGTCACACTTGTACTCATGTTGGCACCAGTGTGGACACAGCCAAAGTGTTGAACCTGCTCATCCACAGCCAATCACATCACTCTCTGTGCTGTGAATGAAGCAGTCCTGCTGACTCCTCGTCTCTCATACCTGCTGGAGGCCAAAACAGTCCAACTGTGACAAGAGCCGGACGTTAGCCAGGCTGGATGCAGGCTTTGATCCCTCTGTAAGCACATCAGTCCCAGGTTCTAAGACTTAACTGTGCAGTAAAATAATGGAGATATTCTGGAGTCACAGATCATCATCATCCAGCTGCTCCCCTCGGCTTCTCCACAGCAGATCATCTGCCTCCATCTCCTCCTATCTCAGGGTCCTCCTCCATCACACCAACCCTCTGCATGTCCTCCTTCACTACCTCCATGAAGCTCCTCTGAGGTCTGCTCCTGCCTGTAACACGTACTCTCCCCACAGATCTCAAACACACCAGTCCACAGAGCCTCCTGCACCACCCTCACAGCCACTCTACGCCATGTGTGGTCCACTATTGTAACTTTAAAAGTTAGAACAAACAATGCTGACTGTATATGCAGGTAGTTCATTTAATATTTATAAATGAATCAGACGCATGTTTACACAGCAGGTGAGCATACACACTCTCACAGCTGGTGACTTAGTACTGACCTGTTTTTATCTGCATTTACAACTGGCCTTTCTGCTGCTACATGAAGGAACCTGAACAGTACACCTGACAGGTAACCCGCTCCTGCCTGCCGTGGAGGAGCCGAACACTGTAGTGATTTCAGCCCGAGTCATCATCCTACCCGCAGGCTGTGGACTTTGAGGAGCAGCTGCAAATGTTCAGGAGAAACGCGGTTTAAATAAACTTTACTAACCATGCACGCTGTGAAGCGATCACAGTGTGGAGGAGCTGATGGTATCACGGGTCGGCACACACGGACTCCTGCAGTGAGAGCCAGCCACCGAAACCACCTGAGGAACGCGCACACCTCACAGAACACCTGACAATGACCTGCGGTGAAAACCCGCCGCAGGCTCGGGGTGGGGGTATCCCGGATTTAAACGCAGCGGTTCCGGCTGCAGCTGGGCTAACGCGGCTAACTCGGCTAATAGTGCTAGCGGGTGCTAACCGTTAGCACGCGCCTCCGCGGGAACGCTCCGTGGGAACGCTCCGTGGGACTCGTGAGCCTCGGCGCGGATACAGGTGGGATTAAGACGATGAGATGAGCCTAGCCCGCGCAGGTGTGCCAGGTGCGCGCGGACGCCTGCAGGACGGGGTTAAATGGCGGCTCGGAGCGGAACAACAAGGCGCCACTGCGCTCGTGAACTCACCGACAGTCTCCGCAGCAGGTAGCTAGGTAACTAGCGCGCGCTCAAGGAGCGCCGCGGGGCTTCGTGAAGTGGTTCTCCTCAGGAGCACGAGCGTCTCGGACTGCACTCAGCTCGGATCGAAGCACGTTTGCTTGCTTCAACCTCCACCAGACTCCATCATGACGCTCCGTCTTCTTCTCGGCTTCTCTGCTGAACGGCATGCCGGGAAATTTTCGTAACGCGCAAAGGATTCTGGGATGCTGAGTTTTACCTTCGGCCATTTTCTGAACGCTGTAAACGGAAAAAGTCGTTTTTAAACTACATAAACAACAATAAAACCTCCGTTGCTGCCATCACGGATGTGCTGAAGCATCTGCATGACCTCAGAGTGTCGCTAGCAGCAACTATCTTTAGTTCAATCGGACTCAGTGTTGTTGGATTGTTGTCATTATACAAAGAGACACAACAAAAGAACCAGCAGGGGATTGTGTAGTGATAGTCGCTATTAAAGAAGCTACCCACAGGGGGCGCCCAGGAATGTAAAAGGGAGGTCTGGAAAATAAACAGCTAGCTGTAGCTAGCACAAGGAGCAGTTTTTGATGTTTTATTCTTAGATGAATAGGAACTTCACAGTTTGTGAATCTGAAAAGCTACTTCAGATATTCAGACCTAGCAAAAGACACCGCAGACACAGATTTACAGTCCCGGGAAAGCAAAATACTCCTGTGGGGTCAAAGGGGTCAAAGTATGCGCACTACGCGTGCTACGTACGGTGCGTACGAGAAGTGCGGAAGTGAGAGGCTTGTGAAATGGGACGGTCTACCCTTCGTCGCGCTGTTCAGGTTGCCTAGCAACCA